GCCCTGTGTAATAAAAAAGTATTGTCGCACGAGGTTCGAGGCTCTTTCCGGAAATAGTAGTTACAGCTTTGCTGCCAGTAATTTATATGATGTGACGGAGTCCTTGGCCAAGTGAATATATATATTTTGCTCTCTTTTAATAAATAGTTAAACTTAGAAGTTGTCTGTCTTTCCTGGAATTTTCACACAACATATGACGTAATATCGGAAATGTGGGCTGGCTTTACGCCCACGGCCCTATCAGAAACAATGCACAAGGTGTTTTGGACATAATATGGTCTTTGTTTACATTAGCAAGCATCGCTAACACTCAGAGCTAACCTGCACTGGAGAGAGTGTGTGTAAAAGAAGGATATAAAAAAGATACTCGCCTAAAGTAAAGTAAATTCAGATTGAACATAGTAAAAAAATGTAAATTATAGTTTCCGTCTAAAGAAAAAAATCTTACTTATAATGAAAACCACCCTTGAATGATGGGATAGTAGCCTTTACGAATCCAAACTATAACATATAAGTACCCTGTATCAAGATTGATGAAAAACAAGTGAAATTTGACCTTTTTAGAGAGGTTTAGAAGAAAAAAAAGTCCATGCGGACTCACCTCTGGGTACATTTGGGTTTGCCGTATCTCTGGAACCCATTAGTCGATTTGGGTGACTGACACCTCTTTGTAACCGTTAGAGCCAATATAATCGAGGGGAAGTTCCTAAATCCATCTAAACATTACCATTGGGGAGTTAGAATGATGCACAGGCAGCATGCCCAAAACCAGAAGCTAGCTCTACACCCATGGCCGAAATGTCCTTAAAATGAAGTCAGAATTTGAAATATCTCAAATAATGTATGCACTGCCATTTCCCCACATAAACATAACAGTCTGCAATGAAACGGTTGTCTCCTGTGTGCTCCATTTCCTACCTCGTTCGCACGAGAAAGTATCTCGTGCGAACGAGAAAGTATATTGTGCGCACGAGAAAGTATATCGTGCGTATCGAGATTTTTTTCCATTGACCTTTAGGGGCTCCGTATGTTTTACCATTGTTTAGGCAAAAAAATTATTTGACAGTCATGTTAACATTTATACGAGCTTAAAAAGATTTAAGCATTATTAATCTCTGATTAACATAATGGCATCTGCACAGTAAGCAGTGGAAGTGCTTTGGGTTAAATAACATTCACTTGTAAGCTGGGTCCGATATATTCAATTTCACAAAAATGCTGCTGAACCTTTTGTTTAAATCTCAACCTTAAGTTTAGTCAAATACATTTTTATTATTATTACCAATTACCTTGGTCTTTATTATACGATATCCATAATGTAAAGTACATTCCTCTTGAATGTATTCACTTGTGAATGCATTTTTTTGAACACCTTATCCCTTTGAGGCAAGCAGTACATCTAATAAAGTTCATGGTTATAACATCATAACAGAGGTCATTGTCCTTGAAAACTACATTTTCCAACAGCAATCAACCAACAGCCATTATTTTCCCTCCTGCCCATCGTCCCTGAAGTTAAACATGCAATGTTAGCAGAATAAATTGCATTATTTTTTTAGATACTATCCACTCTTAAGTCTCTACATTTTTAATTTAGTTTTTGTTGACACAGATTGCTATCTGCTATCACTTGTCTTTTATCGAAGTGATGAAATGGAATTTCAGTGCTGCATATAGCAGATTCTCCAGAAACCAATCTGTCATAGTCTGGAGACACCTTATCTGTCATCAGCTGGGACTTTACTCATGTTTAACTGCTTTCCCCCATGCACAAAGCCTCCGGCATAACCACCTTCCTGTGCAGCAGTGATTCGTGTTGACTGCTATTTCAAAATAGATTTCACAAGCAGTATATCCAAAAGGTGTGTAGGTTTGCAGGCCAATTGAATAAAAAAACAAAACATTTTCTATGTACACAAAATAACCATTTCTCTCAAATATTGTTCACAAATCTGAAAAGATCTGTGATAGTGAGCACTTCTCCTTTGCCGAGATAATCCATCCCACCTCACAGGTGTGGCATATCAAGATGCTGATTAGACAGCATGATTATTGCACAGGTGTGCCTTAGGCTGGCCACAATAAAAGGCCACTCTGAATGGATGTGGAGGTCCCGGGGTTTGGACTGAACGCCCAGGAGCACAGCGGAGGAACCGGAAGGGATCTCGGGCGGACGGCCCGGGGGCAAGGCAGAGCTCGCAAAGGGGCGAAGGCCACAGCGGGCGAACTCAGGGGGCCGGGCATGAGGGCGAAGGCAGCGGCTGGAAGAGTCAGGGGGCCGGGCCCGAGGGCGAGGACCGTGGCACTCAGGGGGCCGGGCTCGAGGGCGAAGACCGCGGCTGGGGAACTCAGGGGGCCGGGCACAAGGACGGGCAGGAGCTAGTGGAACCCCTGGCGGGTCAGACGTAGACGAGACCCTGGACGGAACCTGGGCTGGTGTCAGTGGGACCCACGACGGAGCAAGGGCTGGTGTCGATGGGACCAGAAACAGGACAGGACAAGGTGTTGGCAGGAAACCCGGCGGAGCAGGTGTCGGCGGGCCCCCCAACAGGACAGGACACAGAGCTGGCAGGACCCCCAATGGAACCTCCAACGGCACAGGACATAGGGTTGGCAGGACCTCCGGCAGGAGAGTAGTCGGCGGGACCCCCAACGGGACAGGACACAGGGTTGGCAGGACCCCCGGCAGAAGAGTAGTCGGCGGGACCCCCAACGGGACAGAACACAGGGTTGGTAGGACCCCCGGCAGAAGAGTAGTTGGCGGGACCCACAACGGGACAGGACATAGGGTTGGCAGGACCCCCGGCAGAAGAGTAGTCGGCGGGACCCCCAACGGGACAGGACATGGAGTTGGCAAGACCCCCAGCGGAACGTCCAACGGCACTTCAGTAGGGACTAGAGAAGGGACTAGAGAGGGGACTTGAGATGGAACTCGAGAGGTGACTCGAAAGAAGACTGGAGAGGGGACTCGAGAGTAGGGTTGGGTATCGTTTGAATTTCCACGATTCTGATTCCGATTCTACTTTTCGATTCCGGTTCTTAACGGTTCTCAATTCCGATTATTTGAGGAAAAAAATTATAAATTACTTCTTCCACCGAAAAAATTAAATTTATTCGAGAAAATTTTACACAGGTTAGTTTACAGTAGGGGTGCACCGAATGGGAAATTCTTGGCCGAAACCGATACCGAAAATAGGAAACAGTTGGCCGAAAACCGAATGCCGAAAGGCCGAAAATGATTAATAGAAATATATATATATATATATATAATGTATACATCTTTTACCAATGTTGTTCAGCTACCTGATTATGGAAATAGACATGATTATGGCAAAACTTAACTTAAATAATAATCACTATTATGGGTCCATAAAACATTTATTCAGCACTTTTGAATGCATACAGTACATTTATATATGTCATGTATTATTGCTAAAAAACATTATATCGCAGTCTTAGTGTCGCCAACTCGTTTCTAATATGCAAAGACAACAAATGCGTCTATGATGTATTTTCGATCAGACGAGATCTCTCTCCCCCGTCTGTGTGCGAGGGGGCGGGGCAGTTTACACACACGCAGCTGCTACATGCAGCGGAGCACACTGCGGAGATGGCGGAGAGAACGCGCTCCGAGGTGTGGTTACACTTTACCCGTCTCGATGTGGAGAATACTTGTTACCATAAGTGCAATAAGAGTTTAGCATGTAAGCACGAGCAATTTGTCTAAACATTTAGCAAAAGTGCACCGCATGCAGACAGAGGAATGCACCGGGTTCGACCGTCTTTCTAGCAGCTCTGTAGCCCCATCCACGAGTAACGTTTCCACGTCAGGTGTTATGTATACTATGCTAGCAGCTACACACGGAGTTAACTACATTATACAAACATGGGTTAATGATTAGAGGAAACTGAGTTATTTAGTTTGTTAAAATTTCAGCTATTCTGTTTACAGTCTGTCATCAGATTATTTAATACGATTTGTTAAAGGCTCAGGGCAATCTCGATGACACAGGTCAATGTTCCCCCCCCCTGTGAGCCAGCCGCGAGCATGGTCGCCGCGTCTTTATTACGTCATCACAACAACACGTTAGGTTACCAACGTAAGCCTGTTCTGACATTCGGTGATATTTTTTCGGTGCTAAAACCCTTTCGGCCGAAAGCCGAAAGGGCCTTTTTAACCATTTTCGGCCGATAATTTTCGGTGGCCGAATATTCGGTGCATCCCTAGTTTACAGTAATATTCACATTAATAAGTCTGTTTATATTCACTGCTATGTAACTGTAACCTGAGAACCACTGAAGCTACAACAGTGCAACAGTCCAACTTTTAAAGGAAACCCCCCCCCATTGAAAAACAAGCATATCTGCCTTCTCAGGCATACCGGGAAGAAATGTTTGAACATTTTAAAGTAAAATGCTTCAATCTGGTGCACTTTAAGCAGAATTACTAGAGACTAGATCTAGGGGGTACAACTCTCAACACCCATATGAAAAAGATCGGTTTACATTTTAATAATCAAATAAGTATGTGAACATAAACAGTAACCTACCATAGCCAATAACAAATACATTATTTATGCATATTTTTTGTATCTCTCCAGTTTAAAACGATATGTCTGGTTTACTGTCCTATAGTATACATTGGAATGATTTCAAACCTGTTTTATCCCAATAATTATAAAGGAGTGCTTTGGAAATATGTGTTTACATAAATTGTGATCAAAACGTTTGAGACCCACTGAGATAACTTAGACTAAAGTGAACTATCTAACCCCTCGGAGTCCTTTACCTCACTGAGCTGTTATCAGCCTCAGTCTGACTGGAGATGACTCTCCCTCCACATCATTGTAGAAACAACTTCTTCTTCCGTTAGAGCAGCTAGCACCAGATGCTAATAACAACAGCGCCCTCCCTTTCTCCCTCGCTCGCTCGCACTTTGGCTGTGAGCTGCGGGTGCCAGATAAGCCAACATCCCCCATTTTCATCACTTACAGCGCCGATCGTACAGGGCAAATGAAAAGTGTAACCGGGATGAAAAGGGTGTTACATTTACTTAATTATGAATGTTGTTACATCAAGGCCGAAAATTAGGATGAGCACCAACGGTCAAAAAAAAGTTTTTCCCTGTCAGAGCTGTCACAGCGGCGCCTCCATAGATCTGGCGCCCTAGGCGAACATCTATAACGCCAGTGCGACGGGCCGGCCCTGGTCTCAGGTTACGCTGTAGGAAGTGTAGGTACAACGCTACATTTCCCGCCCCGCCGCAGTCATACAGTAGGCTACGGAGAGCGGCGAGAAACATTTCCTCAGGCATCGAAAAGCGGAACCGAAATTCACATGTCTAAATGATGCCGTTGGAATATAAATGTTGGTACGCCGACAGGACACGGGGAGCTGGCGTCGGCCGGAGAGCCAGTACTGGAGCCGAAACCATGACTGCTGGGGCCGGTTCTGGAACCGGAACCATGGCTGTTGGGCACGGAACGGAAGCCTGGACCCTGGCTCTGTAAGCCAGGTAATGGAGCAAGGAAGAATGGCTGGGTGGGCCGGCACTGGTGCACGGATCCATGGCTTTGTGGGCCGGTTCTGGAGCCGGAACCATGGCTGCAGGGGCCGGAACCATGGCTGCTGGGGCCGGAACCATGGCTGCTGGGGCCGGAACCATGGCTGCTGGGGCCAGGGCTGGGACCATGGCTGTGTGGGCCGGTTCTGGAGCCGGGACCATGGCTGTGTGGGCCGGTTCTGGAGCCGGAACCATGGCTGTGTGGCCCAGCACTGGAGCATGGAACCATGGCTGCTGGGTCCTGTACTGGAGCCCAAAGCATGGCTTCTGGGGCTCGGGCTGCTACACACACCCCTTGAGAAGACATTCCCGCCCTAAATCGACATCATCAACCTAAGTGAAGGGGGATAAGAAAATAAAGAATCTGTTTTGCTCAATGAAATGTGTACACTATTGACTCGATGTATAATTTCCTTAAAATTAATTCTTACTTGAGTCATGTTTGACATAATACAGTTCAGACAGTTCTGTCCTCCTCTCTTCTCAAAAATCTTCAGAAGTTTGTCAGATGGCACATCTAGCTGAGAGAGAAATCTTGATCGGAGGGGCAGGGTTGTTATGTGCTTAAAGGGGAAAGGAAACACAATTACAGCTATAATATTCCGGTAGTTTATTCATTTTACAATGGATATTGATCGTAATATTTATTGTATATGATATTACTCGCCAAAAGAAAATTAATTATCCGCCGGCCGAATTCCGGGACCAGGCCGCTTCCATTAGGAGAGTCCCAAATGGTGACGTCACTGTGTGGGTCCTCGCTCCGGGTATCCATACCGGAAGTCAACACAACGTGGCAGATATTGCAGCGATGGAGGAATTTTGCAATGAGATCGACGTTTTGAACGATGAATTTAACTATTCGTCGGGAGATGACATTGATGTGGAGGCTGCAAGGCTACATGTTTTGCTCATGTGTTTCATGTGTCTGTGTTGCATGCTCTCTAATCATAACATCATCATCCCTGTAGTGAGTAGCATTGGATGGAGTCCAAAGGCATTTCTACACTCTAGGAAGCAAATCATAGTGAACAAACTGAACTCAACTGACTTTATATTACACCATGCTCATGATAAATAGTTTTAGCATATAGGCCAAAAAGCAACATTACAATGAAAGAAACCAAATTCTAAAATAGGCCGGTTAGGCCTTTTGTTTATGTTTGTCATTTGAAAAACCCATGGGACATTTAGTCACAATCATAGTTGACACTTAGTCGAATATATTGGACTTACCTTGAGGTAATCATTCTCAGTGCTTCTATTTCCCGTACAAACTCCTCATGCATGCCGTCCATAAACTCCTCTGTGAGGTCTGAGAAAGCCAGGGATGCGCTGGGGGGCACCCTGCTGTCAAACGAGGTGACCGAGCGCTCCTCGCCTGGGGATATGCTCCCTTCCCCTGTCTCCACGGCCAGGGAGAGCCGGTCCTTGTAGTCCCTCTCCGAGGAGAAGCAGGTGGTCCTGGCGGTGGCATGTTGGCTAGCTCTTTCTGCCAACACGCCATCCCTGAGCGGTTTGTCTCCGTCTAGCCCCCCGCCTCGGCTGCTTCTCGACTCGGCGTCGCTACTCACAGCGTCCGCTGAGAGCTTGTTTTCCTCGGAGGCGCAGTCCGAGAGCTCGGAGCTACTGTCGGTCGGGGAGAGCTTCCCGGTGGCACAGCCGGAGTCCTTAGATAAATCGTCGGAGCCTGTGCTGGCGTCCGAAACCTTACGCCGACCCCCGGTGCTTTTCACTGCGTTGGCCGTTTTAGACGAGGCTGAGGATGATTTGCCCGCCGGTTTGCTCTTATCCGCTTTACCTTCCTTTCCAGCGAGACTTCCCACGGGGCTGCGCCGGGAAATGCGGCTGCCCAGGTGAATGCCTCCCGGCTTGACGCTCAGAGTCGGGGTCCCAATCCCTCCGCGAATCTTGGTGAGCGACCAACCGGGTACATCCTTCGGTCTGGCCGGGGAGGGTACAATACGCTCCTGACGACGACCGTGTTCTTTTGTTGGAAACCACTGGTGCATTGCACGCCATGTTGTTTGCAGCTGTATTAAGCTTTGGCCCAGGAAGCCGTACCCACACAGTGACGTCACTGGGAAAGTCCCGGATCGATGGAAGCGCCCAAGGTCATTAGGCGCGTATTTCAAAATATAAATTTGCGTATCTCGATCGTTTACATTGGAAATAGACTAGATAAATACATTTCCTAATGGGAATATTGTCGCATGGAAAGCAGTTTGAAAAGTGTTTCCATTTCCCTTTAAACGCCACATTTATCTAAGAAAACAAAATATCAGTCATAAAAATCATCAAATCATTTCATTTTCTAATGATATTATGATTGTAGTGTGCTAAATGTATTTGCAAAATCACATACCAGGCATATCTTGCCTCAAAACAATGCAGAGAAACTAGTCCATGCATTTGTTACTTCAAGGCTAGCTTATTGTAACTCTTTATTATCAGGGTGGACCAAGAAGTCAGTTAAGTTGCTTCAGCTGATTCAAAATGTATTGACAAGAGCACGGAAAAGGGACCTCATTACTCCTGTTTTGGCTCCCTATAGAACACAGGATATAATAAAAAAATATTCTTCTCGCCTACAAAGCCCTTAATGGCGGGCGCCATCTTATCTTAAAGGTCCCATGTCATGCTTTTCCGGTTATTACCCGTCCCCTTGTGTGTTATGAAGGTTTTTATGCATGTAAACGGTCTGCAGAGTCAAAAACCCTTTGCCTGTAGCGAGTAAAACTCTAACACAGAAAATACCTGTCTATGCTGCCCCAGAATGCCTCGTTGGAGATTTTTCTCTAGTATGGTGACGTAACCATGCCCAGGTCCAAATGGACCAATCCGTGGCGGAGCTGGGGGGTGGCTGGGAGTGGCCACGGCCACCCCCAGCTGAATCCTGGCCACCCTATTGGCCACCCCAAACACCCTCACCACGGGGGCCCAAACTATTTTAGAACATTAAGAAAAAAATGTTTAGTAACCTTTCATCATTCATCAAGAATTAACATGAATAGGACGTTAGTCTCGCTGTCTCGCAGACCCCACGCAGCAACCAGGAAACGACACCAGTAATACAGCTCACACTGTCCGCTCCTCGAGCCTCAAAGGGCGGGGCAGTGAGCCCCGCAACGTCCCGCCAACACGGCACCCAGACCCCACGCAGCCTTCTCATCTGTTTGTCATTACTGGTGTCCTTTTCTGGTTGCTAACAAACGCCATTGTAACACATAAACACACACCAGAGCACAGTGGGCTCATAGGGGGGGGGGGCAGGAGCTCCAAAAAGGCGTGTAGGACAGAGAGTGAATACACATAGACCTACTATACAGAGATGCTGTATGAGAAAACCAATGTGATTTTGGAACAATGTAAATCTATTCTAGTAAACCTCAACAATGGAATTATGATCAGTAGAAATGGCCATGACATGGGATCTTTAACGTGAGAAATGTTTTCATTGATTGGTACTGCTAAACAAACTCTGATTGAAAGCTTGAAAGTGTTGGTTGAGAATTATGTAAAATATTCTGAAGAGAGCCTGTTTAGTACGGTATTTTACACCATAATTTTCGAGTCGTGCCATGTAGTTTAAACAGTCGAAACTACAATTGAAAACCCTTCAAACAAAATACAGGTGAGTATGTGAGCAAAAAAAAAAAGTATTATTAGCGTAACCAGAAAGGAGTGAATGTTTGGAAGTTTTGGAAGATTCATAGCTAACCACACATCAGTCTTCTCATATTTTTAAGCCTCAATTTGTCCACCCCCCCCCCTCTAACATCACCAGAAGTCATAATGTAACCCTTTAACTGCCAACACCACCATTTGGTAGAGCACATTTTGCGTCTTGATATCTTGTTGAAAAAAAAAAAAAAAAAAGTTGAACTCCATCTGATTCAGTCAGCTCTACCCTTTGGTTGACATGTTATGCACAAAACAACCTCTAGATGTCACTGTGGTTCAAACAGAATGCCCTAAATGAATGCTAAAAATCACTGCTGAAGAAATCCCTCTTTTTGGTCAACTTTTGTAAGGTAACCATATCCTTTTTGACATATGTTAGTGGCAGGGCACTGACTGAACATAATTAGATAACTTGATGCACCAAAAAAGTTTTAACAAGGGTGTAATTTAAAAAAAAAAAATATGCTCAACCAATCGGTCAAATTGGCCTTTTATGGTAAGTTAGCAATATGACTTTTTCAGAGTTTCAGAGATGTTTTCCAATAAAATATGGTAAATAAATGGCTAGATGCATGGTAATATTACTAAATCTAGTACTGCCTTATGAGTCTCAGAGTGAAAGAGAGATAATAATTTATATAGCACCTTTCATGCATGGCATTCAGCCCAAAATTGCACACAGATAAATAATATATTTGATTTCTATAGCGCTTTTCTTGAACCCAAAGACGCTTAGGCCAACACAGGATATAGACATTTGCTGTTAGGCCAGTGGTTTCCTGTTAGGCCAATTCAGCATCTACAGTAAGATGAGCAAGTCTTTTTTTAATCATGAAAAACACTTTACATTACTTTTTTTTTTTTTTACAATTATAATTTATCATCTTTTATGAATATATGTGGTTGTATATATTGCTCATTTTCCATAAAAGAAACAAATGTATTTGAGTTTGTGTTTTATTTGAGTTTGATGCATACAAATACTGTACTGTATATGATGATTGTTGAAAATTTGCTTTTACCATAGAAGGCCAGTTCGACCATTTGGTAGAGGCTCATAAAAACAAAACTGTGTGGTCAGTCAACAAAAATAAATGTGTTTGTGCTTATTTGTGGCCCATTTGATAATTAAATTGCAACAAAAAAAATGTTTCCATAGCTTTTTTCTTGGTCCGGCAGTTAAAGGGTTAAGGGGTCTTTTCTTAAAAAAAATAACCGGGGGAGCATCCCCCCGAACCCCCCTAGTATTGTTTCGTCACAATTTCCACAGCCCCACCTAAAATATTTTCCACCAGCCGCCACTGCCTATAATATAGAAATATAATGCTCTGTATCAAAGATACTTTACTGAACAGAGAATGAGGTTCGTAACGTTACTCTACTCAATAAACAGTACCAACATGGATCCTGTCATCGGTCACCTTTCCTCACTCTACTCTGTCATAAACACCTTTTGTTTCTGTCGTCTTGTTTAACATTCATTCCAGCTATAGCCAACAATAATGGATGAAACTATTTTGCCTCTCAGTTTCAGTAAGCAGCCTTTATCAAAGCCCAGGCCTAATCATGAGGAACAGAGGAGGCAGAAAAAAACAACTTCCAGCTCAGGGTCATAGGGCTTTCTTAGACTGGTGAGATTAGAGTGTGAAACCAACGTGATGAGTTATTTTTCCTCCCTGATATGAAATCTGCCTCTCTCTCTCAGGGAGCCTCTTGCCAGACAAATGGTTCCTTTGCATAAAATGTAGCCTTTGTGCTATATTAGAAAGCAAGTATGAATGGTCAAATGCCAAGCACTGCATATATTAGCATTCAGTAAATTCTACCCTCAGTGAAACATTAGTCTTCTCTTTATCCAACATAATCTTAAAAAACATTTATGCAAGAATAGGAGACGTGTGTGGGTAACTCCACTGCCTTTCTGTATCTAGACCTGTGCCCCGGAGAGGAGATGTAGGAAGTCTATTTAGTGTAATTAAACTGATTACACTGTGCTCACTGTGAGGGCTGAAATACATATATAGTGGCAGCCTTCTAGGCATAGGTCAGTACATAATGTAGAGGTTTTGCTAATAATTAGCTCTAAATAGTTTAAATACAGTATTCTTCACTTAGAGGCGAGCCAGGCACGGTGTTATGTTTTGCTGCTGGATTTTTAACAGCGATGCTTAAACACAAAAAGTATCATTACAACAATGATCTTTCAAGACAATGAAGCTTTGTTTGAGAATAAATAGCCAGTTTATAGTTATATCGCATTACAGCATACAGCACACTCATTCAAAGAACACACAATTGAAGGAAATGGGGGCTGCCTGCTCTGAGACCCTGCCCTGTGGTTTATTCCTGGTGAAAGGGTTGACAGAGGCCTCCTCCTCCTCCAGCTTTACTGTAACAATGATATTCCTGCAGTAAGCTAATACTCCAATCATTTCCCTTCCTATACAACTCTTGAATTAAATCACATTTGATAGTTTACTCTTATGCTAATATTCCGCACATTAGAAACCTAATTATAATGGTGTAATTGTCCCTGGATCTCTTCTGATTGACATGGCACTGACTACATGCAGGAGGAAGTTCAATGGCTCCTAGTGCTGGAATTAAATGGACACAGGCCAAACGGCTAGTTTAAAAGTGAATAAACTATGAAACTGTTCGAGTGATATAAACATTTATTTTTTAGTATTGTCAATATACAGTTTATGGTTTAAAGGAAAAAAGATAGCTACCCGCTGTAACACTTTATATATATATATTTTTTTTCCTCTGACTTTATTTACCATTGGATCACCTGCTCAACTGTATGTGCTCTTATAACTATTTATTACACGGCTTAGATGAATTCTGATTGGTCAATTTGAACATTTCAGACTTTGTTAATCATCGCTAACAGCTGCTAACCATAACATCTGTTGCTAAGGAGAATCAACGGACAATGTGCATGTCATGTGTCATATAAATCCACCGAAAGAAGTCTGATACGTTTAACGGCAGTTGTGGACAATAATCATTTGTTTTCATCCATCAGAAAATATCTTGGAAGACTTTCAATATTCATTTTTATATTTGTGGAGAGCACTACATTTTGAATTCATGATGGCTAAACTGTCCCTAGCAAAGAAAAAAAGGCGCCTACGAAAGAAAGAGTTTAAAAGGCAGAAAGCTTGCCATCAGAGAAATCAACAGAAAAAGGCAGACAGGAAGTAAACATGAAAGGGAAAAGCAGAAGAAGACAGACAGGGAGTAAACACTAAAGGGAACAGCAGAGGAAGAAAGACAGGAAGTAAACACTAACAGGAACACAGTGTCAATGTCGAGTACGCTTGCTTGGTAGCACATATCTTCTGAGTCACTTCC